TGGTCATCTTTGGGGTGGGGGAGAAGGTCTGAAAGAAGTCTACTCCCTCTCGCTGACTGAAACCTCGTGCAACGTAACGCGCCTTGAAGACAGGCGGAGAACCTGGCGGCCGCTTCACCCTGAAAATCCACATGCCACTGACGATGTTCGCCCCAGGAGGGGGAACCTCGTCGACGTAGGTGCCTGTGGACTTCCAGGATGCCATCTCTGCATCCATGGCTGTCTGCCACTGAGAGGAGTACTCACCCGCGATCGCCTCAGCGTAAGAGCGCGGGGTCGGGATGTCTGGTGCATCCGGGTCTCCCTCAGGGGCAAGCAGCATGGACACAAGATGAGGCGCAGCGGCTGCAAAACACTCAAGGTCCTCGTGCCTGTCCTCAAGGACGTCCGTGGCAAGAGCACACTCACCCCCGACGGACGGAGGACAGACAGACTCAGACTCAGCAACAAGACTAGCAGCGTAGTCTAGACGACAAGCAGCAGCAAAGTCAACAAGCTCAGCGACTAAGGCAGACGCAGCAGCAGACTCAAACGATGGGTCAGTGACAACAGTGGCTAGCAGACGCGTGACAGTAGAGTGCTCAGCACGAAACCGGTCAGACTCAGGGTCTGGAACAACAGGCAGAGAAGACTCCGGAGGGGACGGCAGAGGAACATGCTGCGGAGGAGAGGAAGGACGACGGACTACAAGGGAAGGACCGGGGACAGCCGGCGGACGCTGACGAGGAACACGACGACTGGAACGACCAGAACGGACCGGTGAGACAGGACATGATGCAGGCTCACGACGCTCAGTAATGCCCCCTGTCTGCTCAGCGTAAGGAGAAGGAGCAGGCAGAGGTGAGCCAGGCTGTAACGGAAGACCAGTAGACGACGGGAGGCTAAGAACCTGGCGAAGTACGGAGTCACGCGGTGGCAGAGACGACGGAGACGGTGGAGCAAAGAACAGGCGCGGCTGTGCAGTGCCACCAGCACCAGCAGCTCTAGCACCCGCAGCAGCTCCAGCGCCTCCAGCAGCTCCAGTACCCTCAGCAGCTCCAGCACCTCCTGCAGCTCCAGCACCCTCAGCAGCTCCAGTACCTCCAGCAGCTCCAGCACCCTCAGCAGCTCCAGCACCTCCAGCACCTCCAGCACCCTCAGCAGCTCCAGTACCCTCAGCAGCACCCCTAGAACCGGCACCTCCAGTCCCAGGGTCTCCAGCCTCCGTGTCTCCAGCAACAGCACCCCCAGACCCAGGGTCTCCAGCAGTAGCATCCTCAGGCTCAGCAGTACCTCCAGCCCCAGCAGCTCCAGCACCTCCAGTGCGAGCACCTCCGGGACCAGCACCACTCCCAGCTCCAACGGTGTCAGCAGAAGTACCTCCAGCGGCAGAGCCCCGAGTTCCAGAAGCACGACCCTGACGGCGACCGTACCAGTCGTGCAGCTGCTGTGAGGTGAGAGGCACACGCGTACGAAGGCGGCTACTCCAAGGAGACCGCGCAGGAGCAGACTCAGAACCCTCAGGCGTCGCACCCCCAGACTCAGCACCCCCAGGCTCAGGACCTCCAGGCTCCTCACGCTCAGGCTCAGGACCCCGAGACTCCGCACCCCCCGGCTCAGCACCCTCAAGCTCCGCACCCCCAGGCTCAGCACCCCCAAGCTCCGCACCCCCAGGCTCAGCACCCCCAAGCTCCGCACCCCCAGGCTCAGCATCCCCAAGCTCCGCACCCCCAGGCTCAGCACCCCCAAAGTTAGCACCACCCCCAGTAGGACCTGAGTCACCAGTGACCTCAACAGGCGCAGGCACGGGAGGGTCTACCTGAGAAACACCTGAAGGAGCAGGACCTGGCGCGGGGAAGGGGTCTACCTGGGGAGGACCTGGGGCGAGAAAGAGCGGCGGGGGGGGGCGAGGAGCAGTGCGGTAGGGAAAGAGACGGTAAAAGGGGACGGACTCGTCAAAGGTGACGTCCTGAGACGGAAAGACACGGCGCGAGGCGGGGTCGTAAAACTGCCAGCCAGGCGCGTCAGGGACAAAGCCAAGGAAGACGCAGGGAATGGCGCGAGCGGAGAGCTTGTCCGCAGTGGTATCGCGGACAAAGGCACGGGCACCCCAGACCCGGAAACGCGACGCATCGCCAACCTTCCCCGTCCACAGCAGTGTGGGCGAGGTCTCCGGCAAGGAGACACGGGGCCAGAGGTTGAGCTGATGCGCGGCGTACCGGACCGCAAACGGCCACAGAAAATGGGGGGCAGCCGCATGGATCATGGAGGTACGAGCGACCTACATGACTAAGCCAATGCGGCGCTCAGCAACCCCATTCTGCTGCGGAGAGGCCGGAAGCGTGAACGACTGGCGGATGCCGTGCTCCGCACAGTAGGCTGCCAAGAGGTCTGAGGAGAACTCACCACCTCTGTCAGAGTGCAGACGCAGGACAGGAAAGTCCGACCGGAACCGCTCGCGGAGCTGGAGACGAACAGCGCGGATCCAGGGGATCGAAACATCAGGGACCTCCCCCTTGCTGCGCAAGGGGAAGACCGTGGTGTAACGCGTGTAGTCGTCGACGACCAGCAGGAAGTACCGCTCGTGGCCCTGTCCACGGACGCGGGCTGGGCCCCACACGTCCATGTGGAGAGTCTGCAGGGGAGCCTCTGTGGGAGGAAACGAGGAGGAGTGAGGAGCGGCGCGCTGCCGCCCCTCGACGCAAGGAATGCAGGGCGGCGCAGGCGAGGGAGGGAGGGCAGGCAGAGACTCAGGAAGGCCAGAGACCAGGTAGCGAGAGTGCATGCTACGAAGGCGAGGCAGGGAGGGGTGACCAAGGCGGTGGTGCCACAGAAGAGTGTCGTGCGACAGGCGACGACACTCACACTGGGTAGCTACCTGAGCAGACGCGTACAGCTGGGGGGACAAAGGGGTGTAGCGTGACGCAGTGGTGAGGGTGTACAGACTAGACCCAGGCGCACGTGTGAACGTAGCCAGGTGACGGCCGGTCCGGGAGCACGTGCAGATCACCACACGCTGTCCTCCAGGAGTAAAGGTGTCAACCCAGTGATCCTGAAGGACTGCGTTGCTCACCAAGTTCGTAGAGAACGAGGGGAGGTGGAGACCAGACAGCTCACCAGACGGGACCGCCGGACACGGAAGCACAGTGGAAGACCGTGCCAGCACTGGGCCCCCAGAGGGGTCAGCCAGCGAGACAGGAACAGGTGCACGGAGGGGAGTGACTGTGGTGCTGTCGCGAAAGAAACAGCGGGAAGCACCAGAGTCAAGTGTGAAGGTGTGCAAGGCCTGTGCGGACGCAGTACCAGGGGGAGCAGACTCACAAGCACCTAGTGCCACAGGCGCTATACCTGGGGCTATACCTGGGTCAGGCGGCAGACACAAGTAGCAGTCACCCTCAGCACTAACAGTCAATGCATACATAGCAGCAAGAATAGCCTCATAGTCAAGATCAAAGATTGGTACATCACGCCTAAGCAAGTCTGCCCAGTTGGGGAACTCAGTAGCATCAGGAAACTTGGCGCGCCAGGCGTCGCTAAGTCGAGCGAAGCAGCGCTGCTCAGTGTGAAACCCTGTGCACTGGCGATTAGCGCGGGGACCTGTGCGGATGATATAGGGGCAGCGACCAGGACCCCCAGAAGCCCCACGCCCGGCATACCAGTCAAGAAGCTGCTGGGAAGTGGGGGTCTGGCGCTGACGCTGCTGCTGCTGCTGCTGCGGCTGCTGCTGCTGGCCCTGACCACCACTGGCACCACCGCTCCCTCCTCCCCCACCGCCGCTGCTGCCCCCTCCACCGCCCCCAGTGCCTCCGCCGCCCCCACCACCACCTCCACCCCCTCCACCCCCACGACCACCCCCACCACCTCCACCGCCCCCGCCGCCTGCACCACCGCCGCCTCCACCGCCGCCCCCACCGCCCCTGCCACCCCTGCCGCCCCTGCCGCTGCGACGCTTCCCACTAGGAGCGGAAGCAGCCCCGACCTCCTCAGCACCAAGGTAGTCGTGAGCAGCAGCTGCGGAGGCGTAGGAGGGGGTGAGAGGGGAGGGGGAGCACTCCTCAAAGAGGGGAGAGCGAGGAGTGCCACGAGCAGCACCTACAGCGAGGATGTTCTTCTCTGCTGCAAGGAGGTGCTTCTCGAAGTCGTCGACAGTGAGAGTGGGGGGGTCTAGCGCTAGGAAGTGGTCCCTGACCGAGCTAAGAGTGTCAGGGAGGCGCGTAACGAGGAAATAGAGAGTGAAGTACATCGGGGGGGGGGTTTGCGGCGCAGAACTCGGCTGAGAGGGCGGCACGAAAGCGAGTGTCAGTAGCGCGGAGGTGAGAAATGAGGTCCTCAGCAGTGGTGAACGAGGAAAGGTCTGCCCAGTTGGGGAGAGTGAAGTACATCGGGAGGTCCTCACACACACACACACACACACACACACACACACACACACACACACACACACACACACACACACACACACACACACACACACACGCGCGCGCACGCGCGCGCGCGCACGCACACGCGCACGCACACACACGCACGCACATACAAACATACATACACACAAACAGGCACACACACAGACATACACTCACACCATATACTCACAGATACACACGCGCGCGCACACACACACGTGCGCGCACGCGTCCGCGCACACATACACATAAACACACACGCACACAGAAGATTACGGTGTAGCAATCATGGTTTCAGAACCAGCCAGTGCCATAAAAGGGTTTTGAAACAGTTCAATATGTTAGTGTAGAGAACCACATTGTGTCCTCCACTCCTCAGATTCTGTGCAGGCTCAATGTGATGGCCGACAGCAGGAGGAGTGCGAGCCAGACCACCAAAAGTCAGCTACGGCGCAGGCAAAACTCGTGCATTTCTTGCAAAACAATCAGAAGATACAAGTGAGCCTAGCCCGGAAGGTTGTGATGTGAGCATCTAATAGGAGGTGGCAGGGAGCAGGGCGACATGACTATCTTTAAAACGCCGAATCTGGAGGTGCCGAAGTACTGTAACATGAAGGTCTACGAGGTGGAGGGATCCCTGGTGAGCGGCTTGCACTTCTGCAGCTCTATGGCGACCTGGAAATGGGGGGATGAGTCCACATAACATGGCAGCAACACATACCATAGTGATTGGTACACCCTAGAATGCATACATAAAATATCTAATAGTGACGCAATAATCATCTGTTCGGATGCAGCAGGAGGAGATGGAGAATGGTGTGGTGGGTAGTGGGAGGTGGGTGAGCAGTGTGAGAGCCGTGATACAAGCGTGCTGAGGAAGCGGCAGGGAAGTGAGTTGCATCGCAATTTTCGGTACGGTGCAACAGGAAGAGGTTGCTTGCGATAAGGATTGGCACCGTGGAACAGGCAGGGCTACACACAACGTGCAACGATGCCTCAAAAGCGCAAGAGATGGGAAACGTTTTGTTCCGGGAATCACTAGAGTGTGACAAGAGCCGTTTCAGTCATTGTCACTAGCCCTGAGAGTGTATCCCAGTCGCTGCCTTCATCCCTACATCTGGGTCGCTTTTGAGAATTCTCAAAAGCGACTCTTATTTTACCATGAGCAAAATGTGGATCGACTTTGGACTCAGTAAGTTACTCACCTTGAGATACGACGGATGTGTCCCGATTGCAGCCATGACCTGCTCATACCAAGTCAATGGGAGAGTAGTAATGGGAGGGAGCAAGAGAGAGAAAGTGAGGGAAATTGATGAGGATTGAGGGGTTGGGGAAGACGAGATGGGAAGGGGGGATTGCAATCTTTGCACCTCTACCGACCCTCTCCTGTCCCCTTTTCCCAACTCACGTCCCCAAGCTCTGTTTCTCATCCTCCATTGTCCCTCACTCACTCCTCAAATCGACCCCTCTCTTCCCTCTCCGTAAAACATCCCCGCCTCATTTGCCCTTCGAAACTCCGGTCCCCAGAGTTCCAATCTCGAATATTCTAACGGCACCCGTTCAGTTAGGCGAATCCGTCACTGTAACGGAGTAACTTCTGTCGTCATGAGCCTGATTGCCCTGGAAACACCTCGTTCCCAGCAAAGAAATGTTCCCCAGCTCCAAAAAGACGAGGACACTCTCTGTCACGTCTCTCAGGAAGATGATCCATCCGTACCGTGTCAAACTTCTCGCCGCGAACGTTGAACCGTACGATCCGCATGCCCTTCTTCACGACAACCCCGCCGTACGAGTCGCTGTCGTCGAACACGATCGCACTCGTCGCAATCAGCTGGTCGCCCGCGTCCACCAGCCCCGTTGCCTCCGCGTTCCCCCCGCGCGCTACCTCCACCACGAAAATCCCCCCCGCGCGCTCCTCTAGGACCAGCCCCAGCGGGCGCGTGAGCTCGATTTTGATCCGCGAGCATCCCGGCGGGGGGACGTCCGCGGAATCGTCTTCCGCGGAGGCGGTTTCCGCCGCGACGGCGGCTACAGGCTGCGCGGGCCTTCGCAGAAGGCGTTGATGCGGGGAAGAGGCGGAGAGGGGCTTGGCGGAGAGGGATGTGCGCTGGGGAGCGAGAAACGAAACTGGAGGGGGATTGCGGGGTAAGGGGGCCGGGGGAGAAAAGTTTGAGCATGTGGACGAGGGGATAAATATCGTATTTGGGATGAGGGCGTGTTTTACGTAGCGAAAAACAGTATAATGGTGACAAGTGGACTATACTTCACAGCTGCAATTTTCACGAGTCGTAGGTTGAGGCATCTCGACGTTATCTGACGCATCCGTCTACCACCGATAGCCAGTGTCAATCAATGGCGACAGCTACTTCGCACTGAAGGATAACGGTTATTGTGCATTTGTGAACACCAAGAGGGTCGCTGATCCCTCTGTGAATGCCTTCTTCACACGCGTGTTGTTTAGAGTGTAACCTTTTTCGTGGGATGGAATAATTGAATGGCTGCAGACAGAGACACAGGCGCCTACCTGACTTGGCTTGGGAGACGAAGGTCGTAGAGATTCTACCCGCCTCGGGAGCCATCATTCCGAATGACACGCCATTGGACGACACTGCGGCGAGCGCCATGCTGCGGAATAGATATCTAACGGATGAATAGAGAGGTTGAGTGGTACTAGATGCAGATCAGATCTCTTCCGACGAGCGATCGAAGCTCAGAGCTACAAGCACAAGAACGAGTCGATCGAGGAGTGATCAGGACGGGCAATGAAACTTATGAGGAATGGGACTAATGAGGAATCTAATATGAGTGAAACTAGTACAGTATGAGCACTTGTGTGCTGCTCTGCGTGCCAGCCGGGAAAATCTATGCTAGACCCAGCTTGGAGGGATTTTCAAAGGGGGCTTCTTTCCAACGCGGGATCACATGTCAGTGTTATTCGAACGTCAATGATGAGAGGTTCCAGATGCAAGGACAGGACTGCTTTCATGGAACACGTCAGCGCGTTTAAGTAAGAGTGCCCAGATTTGGTGCAAAAAAGAGGAGGTGAATAAGACCTTGTCCGTGGATCTGCGACCCGCCACAGAGTGCATCTGTGGAAGCGACATCTGGTTGCCACGCTGTTCGCGCTGGTTGGTCGCAGTTCTCACGTGTTGTTGTCAACGGGAGGCGCGACACATGGCACTGCTTAGTTAGCATCTGAAATCGTTTGATTGGCTAGGCTTAGTGTACTTCCAGTTTCAAGGGAGCGAACCTCCACCTCAGCTCAATAGAAATACTAGTACACTCAAACATGAACTTGGTTAAACACTTCACAAAAAGTTTGCTTTAATCTGTTGGTACCATCCTAAACGTACTAAGCCACAACGACCCCTTACACACCCACATGTAATAGCAGGAAGGATATCAATCAAATTCTTGTATACCGCTATATTTTTATATGCATAGAATGGTACAACACTAATATGTCACTTTGTAAGCCCAGTAACACACTCAACCATTCCCAGGTCCAAAAGCTGAGCGAAGGGCATCGCACGCTAGTTCCATGCGCATTCCTCGGCTCCCCTTCACCAGCACCACATCTCCCAACCGTATCAAACCCATATCCACCGCTTCTTTAGGCGCTTCAAGGAGTGACTCTCCAGTGCATGCAGATAACGCTACTGCCTCTGCAAGGTCTTGTGCCGACTCAAACGCATGCACCTCCAAGCGCCTCTCCCCACCGTCTTCCAAAAAACAGTGCAGACGGCCGCTTTTCCACTCCCCACTGTCTCTATCATCTTCATTACTGCAGCTCCCATCCTCACCCCCCTCCACTCCTTTCTCTGCACCACCCCTCACTCTCCTTTGCACCATTTTCCCCAGGGCGGACTTGAAGGACGCACCAGCTGTCAGAACAAGAGAGATTCCCGAGAGGGAGAGGCAGAGAGAGAGCGCGTCCACGTGTGCGCTCTCTGATTGGCTGCCCAGCTCCAGCATGTCACCCAGCACTGCCACATGGCGGCCTGAGACTGGTGGAGAGGAGGCGGCAGTCGCGGAGGAAGAGCAGGTGGCGGAGGAGTCAATTGATTCCAGTGAGAGCTGATGCAGAAGGGAGGGAGCGGAGGAGAGGGAGGGGAGGGAGGGGAGGGAGGAGGCGCGAGTGGAGGAGGAGGCAGTCGATTCCAGTGAGAGCTGATGCAGAAGGTGAAGAGCCGAAGCAACACTGATTGGATTGGCGTTATAAGCATCATTCAGTACAGTCACACCATTTCCCTCGTGTCCCTCTCCCTTCCCTTCGCTCCTCTTGCCCTCCTCTCCCGCCTCTCCTCTCCTCCGTATCCGCTCGACCCTCATCCTCATCCCGACGGGCTCGAATCGCGCCATGTGTCGCGCCGCCATTGGCAGGGGCACGCCTGCCGCCACCGCCACGGCTGCTGCTGCAAGAGCGTTGTCAGCCAGATGCAGCCCGGGGCTGTTAATCCGCACACACACCCCGCTCTCGGCATCACTCTCGTCCCCATGCACACGCCCTGTGTCCTCATTGTCTCTATTAGCATACAGATGCAGAGCTCCAGTGCTCTGCGATTTCTGACTCGACTCAGAAATAGTTCCAGCACTTAGCAGCGCACTGCTGCTGGGAACAGCACTTTCATTCTCCTCCTCCTGCTTGCCGCAACGCAATGCCATAGTCACTCCTGCCTCTGCTGCAGCTCCTCCTCCTGTGCAAGGCAGGTTATTGCGAATGGCAGCTTCAACCGCCATGCCGCCATCCACTGCCCGCGCCCACAGCAGCTGCACGTCGCAGGCCGGTGAGCGACCGAATGTGATCTGCAGGGACACACGGGTGGGTAGAAGGGTGTGGGAGGAAGGAATTGGGCGTGGCAGTAGTGCGGCTGCTCCTCCTCCTCCTCCTGTGCGTGCCAGGTTGCAATGCTTCAAAAGCCATGCCGCCATCCACTGCGCGCGCCCACAGCAGCTGCACGTCACAGCCGGGGAAGCGGCCAAAGGTGACCTGCGAGGACACGCGGGTGTGTGGAAGTGGGTGGGAGGGAGGAATTAGGCCTTCACCTGCGTGCCAGGTTGCAATGCTTCAACTGCCATGCCGCCATCCACAGCCCACGCCCTCAGCAGCCGCACATTGCAGGTGGGGGAGCGGCCAAAGGTGATCTGCAGGAACACGCGGGTGTGAGGGGTTGGGAGGATAGGAGTAGGCTTCAAAGAGTTCAGTTGGTGAATTGTAGACATTGGTTTGGAGAGCATGTGAGAAGCCATATTCAAACAAGTGCACCCAGTCCTCTTCCAGCCAGCCAGCACACTTTTGTAAGAGCGCACGAGGGAGAACACATTCGTATGAGCGCACTCACGCGTCTCACTCCTCTCCCGATCAGCAGCCCCATGACAAGCCCGTCGTCCCCTCCCCATTCACCACACACACGTCTCCCTCCCGCACATCCGCCAGCAAGGTGACTTTTGAGTCGACTCAAAAGTCACCCCATTCACCACGCACACCTCTCCATTCCGCGCATCTGCCAGCATCTCCCCCTTGCCCTCTGCCATGGCCTCCAGAGACCCGAGTGTGGGGTCTCCAAGGTGTGTGGGGGGCAGGGGAATGGGGAGGGAGTGGCTGGGTGGAGACTTACCCGTCTGTCTCCTTTCTTTATGGGCAGCCCCATGACAAGCCTGTCGTCCCCATTCACCACACACACGTCTCCTGGCCTCGCATCCGCCAGCATCTCCCCCTTGGCCTCTGCTATCGCCTCCAAAGACCCTAGTGTGGGGTCGCCGACGTGAGCGGGGCCCACGTTGAGAAGCAGGCGGATGGAGGGAGCGGCGATGGTGGAGAGGAGGGCGATTTCGCCTCGAGCACTCATTCCCATCTCCACCACACACGCTGCTGCCGCCTGGGGGAGAGCTGATGGGGGGGAGGGGGTGAGACGGAGAGGGAGGGGGATATGGGGAAGACCTGATGGTGATTGGGGGAGAGCTGATGGGGGTCAGAAACTGAGAGGGGGGAGGGAAAGGCCAAGACAGCATATTTGCTGCTGATGGAGGGTATTTGCTGCTGATGGAGGGTATTTGCTGCTGATGGAGGGTATTTGCTGCTGATGGAGGGTATTTGCTGCTGATGGAGGGTATTTGCTGCTGATGGAGGGTATTTGCTGCTGATGGAGGGTATTTGCTGCCCCACCCATGCCCGCCGCATGCCTGTCTTGCCCCACCCACCTCGCCATCACTAGCACGTACCTAAGAGAGTGAGCGGCACTCCTATGTGGTTGTTCAGATTGCCCTGAGTCTGCACAGAAAGGGAGTGGAGGCACGGAGTGGAGACATGCATTAATGCAACGGGGGATGATCTGGGAAGTGATGGAAGAGACATGACATGAAACAAAAGGGTTTTCACTTTTGACGATTCACAAAACAGACACGGAGACCCCACCCCAACCTACCCCATTCCACCCCATTCCACCGCATCCACCCCATCTCCCCCACTCTACACCGCACCTGGTGCACGGCCCCCAGGGGCGAGAGCGCGAGGGCAGTTAAAGCCCGCGCCGTCGTCTTCCCCACGCTGCCTGTCACCCCCACCACCACGCCGCCGAACCTCCGCCGAGCCTCCCTCGCCAAGCCTTGCAGCGCGCCGAGCGTGTCTGGCACCACCACCAACCCGCCCTGCCACCCCTCTGGCAGCAGGTTCGGAGGCAAGTTTGGTTCCCTTGCTCCCTTTTCTTCTCTTAACCCCTCTTCCGCGCATTCCCCCTCTTCCCCATTCCCGCTCTCCCTTCCGCCGCCCCCCTCTGGCGCATTCCCCCCATTCCCCGCATCCCCCCTTTCCCCCCATCCGTCCACCACAACAACCGCCCCCCCGCACCCCCTCCGCGCCGCCTCTTCCAGGAAATCCGCGCCGTCGAAGTGCGGACCTCGCAGAGCCAGGAACCAATCGCCGGGCGCCAGCTGGCGCGTGTCAGTGCAGACGCGCCCCGGCGGGCCGTCCCTGACGGCGGCGCCGCCTGCCACGTCAGCAATCTCCTGCGCGGTCCACACCGAGCCCGCCCACTCGCTCGAGCCGCCACCGCCGCCACTGCTGGCGGCCGCCGCCACACCACTGGTTCCGTCAACCCCCGGTCTCGCCGCGCTTCCGCCCTCCCCGCCATTCCCAGCAGAAGCTCCCGCGCGGGATGATTGCATAGCGGCGCGGGGGAGGCGCAATGCGCGGGCGCGGGCGCGGCCGTGGGGAAAACTAGGCGCGCGGCGAGCTGGTTCGGAAGGAACGGGCGCGGCGAGTAGCGCGGGTGGACGCGCGGACGCCGGAGGGAGGCGGAGGAAACAGCGCGCGACGACGACTGAGCCTCTGTCGCACGACCTTCTACCGTCGGACGATCTTCTACCGTCGCACGACCTTCTACCGTCACACGACTTTCTACCGTCGCACGACCTTCCACTGTCGCAAGACTTACGGTCGCACGACCTTCTGCTGTCGCACAACGATCGCCTGCAAATGGCGAGGTCAGCGACAGCGGCAGCGGCACAAGCGCCCGCCGGCATGTGGGGAAGCGGAAAACGAGCGCGAATGGCGGAGGTGCTAGGCAAGGATCTCGGGGGAAAGAAATGAGAATCGTGACGTGAGGAAAATACTCGTCAATATTGTCAATGCGATGGTGGACACTGGACACATTTCTCGAGACTTCAATCGGGTTACCATGTGTGCTTTCAGTGTGCCGCGAACAAGCTTGCCGCGCCGAACTGGATCTAACCGAGGGGTCGCTGGCTGAGCTTGCGTACGCGCTAGAGAGTCCCTTCCAGAACACACGCTACATGTGGTGTGGCTTCTGGAGGACACAGAACACCTTTGCCCGCCTAATAAATGCAATATGGGAGGACAGACTAAAGGGGATGCGAATAAACTAGCACACCAACAATTCCATAATTCTCTACTGCATGGGTGCCTGCCCATACATGTACTGTTGAGACGACATACCCCCTGCATTGTACACTCCCCCTCCATTTTGCCCAACATATTCCCCCCCTTGCACCCCAACGCTCCCTCCCACACCCCCATCCCCAGGCCCCATTTGCCCTTGCCCCTGAAACCCCCCATTTCCCTGCCCCATAACACTATAAGCAGGGGGGGGAGCGCCAGTGGCAGCATTGGGAGGATAGGCAGTGTAGGGAGGGGGAGGGGGGGCGAGAGAATACTGAGGCATGGCAGAGGTCTGTTGGGGAGGAGGGGATTGAGTAGGGAGAGGGGGAGGAGGGGGCAAGGGGGGGAAGGGCATGCCATCCATGTTCAGTGGGGGTGGGGGCGGGGGGAACATTGCATGGTTCAGGGAAGCAAAGGCAGTGGCAGTGGCGGGAGGAGCAGCAAACGAGTGTGACAGAGGCGGTGTGCTTGTATCAGTGGGTCGTAGCCGCTTCTCTGGTGGCTGAGAAGGGTCGTTTGCACCTCCTCCCCCACCGCCACCACCACCATCCCCCCCACCATCTGCACCAGCAGCGTCAGCCGGAGCAGCAGCAGCGGCGGCTCCTGCTGCTACTGATTGCCCAGCCGCAAACGACGAGAGAACGGATTTCAAAATCGCGGCAGATGATGCCGAAGCAACCAGCTGGCTTGTCAGCTCCGCCGCCCGCTTCCGCCGAGCCTCCCGCTCAGCATCGGTAACCCCACCAGCTCCGGCACCCGCGCCTGTTGCCGCAGCAAGACCAGCCGGCAAACCAGGATTGCCGGCAGCAGCAGCAGAAGCAGCGGCGGCAGCTGCGGCAGCGGCCGCAGCAGCAGGGGTAGAGGCTTGTGAACTGTTTACAGCGGCGGCGGCAGCTGCAGCAGCAGCAGCAGCGGCTGCAGCCACCATCTCAGGAGGCGTGCCTGGGGGAGGTTGGAACCCGGGGAAAACGAACGCTGGTGCAGGTGCAGCTGTAGCGGCAGGGGCCGCTGCTGTTGCAGGGGCTGGGAAGAATGCTGGGGCGGATGGTGCAGCAGCAGTGGTGGCAGGGGCAACAGCGGAGGGGTTGGCTGCAGCAGTGAGGCCAGCAGAGGCGCGAGCAGCGTCCTCCTCCGTGGCTCGCTTGCGCAAGTTGGCTGCTATTTCCGACTGCGTGCGTGCAATCTGTGATGAGAAGGAGTGGGGCGGGATGAGCAGGAAACAGGGTGCAGTGAGGAGGGGCACAACAGAGTAGGATAAGCAGCAGCAGCGTCCTCCTCCGTGGCTCGCTTGCGCAGGTTGGCTGCTATCTAAGACTGCGTGCGCGCGACCTGCAGCGAGTATTGGCGGGACGAGCAGGGAACAGGGCGCAGTGAGGAGGGGCACAAAAGAACGTGCAACCTGCACCTGAGAAATAAACTCAAGGCGGTGCTCAAAGGGCTGTCGAGGAATCTCACCTCCACCTGTGACCTCAGGCGCTCCAGCTTGCTCTCCTGCGTCCTGAGCGCGTCTGTGAGCAGCTTCACCAGCAGCGCTCGCTTCCTCTCACACGCCGCCATCTGGTCGCAGCACTGCTGCAGCACGTGGCGCTTGGTGTCCAGCCTATCCAACACCACCGCCCTCTCGTCAGCCTCTGGTGGATGAGAAAGAGCAGCCACGGGGTGGAGTGGAGAAACACTGAGAGGAGAAAGGCAGCGAGGGTACACAGTGTGTCTCCTCTCACACGCCCCCATCTGGTCGCGGCACTGCTTTGGTGGTGAGAAGAAACAGGCATGGTAGAGAAGGGAAGAAAAGGGGGTGAGGACAAGCACTGAGAGGAAAAAGGAAAGCAAATGTGTGCACTATCGTTTCGTCCACAGCACAAAACCGCACAGCACAGCACCGGACAGCACTTCACTGCACCTCACAGCACAGCACAGCACACACTCACTCACTCACCTGAGGCATTAGCGGGTGACTTGAGAGCAGTGAGCTCCTTCTCAATGGTCTGCAGCTCGTTGATGATCGCACTGCAGCGCACAGCACAGATAGCACAGCCTGGCACCGCACCGCACCGCACTGCACTGCACTCACTCACTCACCAGACGCATTAGCAGGCGACTTGAGCGCAGTGAGCTCCTTCTCAATGGTCTGCAGCTCGTTGATGATCGCACTGCAGCGCACAGCACAGATAGCACAGCCTGGCACCGCACCGCACCGCACTGCACTGCACTCACTCACTCACCAGACGCATTAGCAGGCGACTTGAGCGCAGTGAGCTCCTTCTCAATGGTCTGCAGCTCGTTGATGATCGCACTGCAGCGCACAGCACAGATGGCACAGCCTGGCACCGCACCGCACCGCACTGCACTGCACTCACTCACTCACCAGACGCATTAGCAGGCGACTTGAGCGCAGTGAGCTCCTTCTCAATGGTCTGCAGCTCGTTGATGATCGCACTGCAGCGCACAGCACAGATGGCACAGCCTGGCACCGCACCGCACCGCACTGCACTGCACTCACTCACTCACCAGACGCATTAGCAGGCGACTTGAGAGCAGTGAGCTCCTTCTCAATGGTCTGCAGCTCGTTGATGATCGCACTGCAGCGCACAGCACAGATGGCACAGCCTGGCACCGCACCGCACCGCACTGCACTGCACTCACTCACTCACTCACCAGACGCATTAGCAGGCGACTTGAGAGCAGTGAGCTCCTTCTCAATGGTCTGCAGCTCGTTGATGATCGCACTGCAGCGCACAGCACAGATGGCACAGCCTGGCACCGCACCGCACCGCACTGCACTGCACTCACTCACTCACCAGACGCATTAGCAGGCGACTTGAGCGCAGTGAGCTCCTTCTCAATGGTCTGCAGCTCGTTGATGATCGCACTGCACCGCCGCACCGCCGTGTCCTCGTCCTTGCTTGCGTCCTGCACTGCTCCGTACACCGATGATATGCGCTCCAGTGGCCCCCGCACCTGGTGGAGGAGGGGAAGGGGGGAGAGGAGAGTGTATAATGCTACGGTCGCACCGCCGTGTCCTCATCCTTGCTCGCGTCCTGCACTGCCCCGTACACTGACGATATGCGCTCCAGTGGCCCGCGCACCTGTGGTGTGGGGGGGAGAGAGGAGGAGGAACGAGCGAGTGTTCACGTGCACATGTGTTTGTTAGCATCTGCTCGCGTCCTTGCTCGCGTTCTTCACAACCCCATACACCGAAGAGATGCGCTCCAGTGGCCCGCGCACCTGGTAGAGGGGGAGGGGTGCGTGGGTGGGTGGGTGGGTGGGGTGGGGGTAGACAGAATGAGTGATGGGGAGAAGAGTGATTGGTCTGGGAGGATAGGATAGGTTCTCGTCAATGTCACTGTCACGTTCTCGTCAATGTCACTGTCACGTTCTCGTCACTGTCAATGTCAATGTCACTGTCACTGTCACGTTCTCGTCAATGTCACTGTCACGTTCTCGTCACTGTCACTGTCACTGTCACTGTCAATGTCACTGTCACTGAGTCGCCATGAGCTCTACAGCGTCTGGTCCGCCGCTGCCTACCCCGCACGCATTGCCTTCCCCTCCGCCTCACCTTCGCCCCTCCCCTCCCGTCTGGGAAGCTGCTCTGCTCCCTCCCGTGGAGGGCTGCTCGTCCGCGCTCTTGAAACTATGGCTGCGGCACCCCTCCCTCCTAGAACAGCGCTGCTCCTAGAACCTAGAACATCAAAAGGCCTCCCCGCACTGCACGCCCCCACCCCCCCCGCACTGCACAGCCGCCCCCCCCTCGCATTGCCTCTCCCTCGCACTGCCCCCACCCTCGCGCGGCCTCCCCCTCGCACTGCTCACCTTGGCCGTGGAAGCGGCTCCCGCGGCTGGCTGCTCGTCCGCCGGAGCGGCGGCTGACGTGGCGGGCGGCGCGGTGGCGAGATCGCCCAGCAGCAGCTTCCTCAGCGGCTCGTCGCGCTGCCCAAACACCTTGCGCTCCTCCCATATGTCCACCTGGCGGCGCGATCGCCACGTGGCGCGCGGTGGTTGGTAGGTTGGGGACGAGTTAGCGAGAGGGGGGGAGGGGGGGTTTGGGTGGAGGAAAAGGATGTACGGGGGAGGAGGGAAAGAGAGGGAGGAAGGAGGATGGGGAGGGGAGGGGAGGGGAGGAGAGGGGAGGGGAGGGGTGAATTAAAAAGCAGAGACGCACGGATCCAATGCGAACATTTGCGGGAGGGGGGGGCGGGGGGGAGTGGTAGTGGGGTGGGATGCGGTGCGCACACCGCTCGCTAGAGCCGTCAGAGGCAACCGCTAAAATGAGTCCTGTCCTCGTCGCACCCTCGTCGCACCCTCGTCGCACCCTCGTCTCACCCTCGTCTCACCCTCGTCTCACCCTCGTCTCACCCTCGTCGCACCCTCGTCGCACCCTCGTCTCACCCTCGTCGCACCCTCGTCGCACCCTCGTCGCACCCTCGTCTCACCCTCGTCGCACCCTCGTCTCACCCTCGTCTCACCCTCTAGATGCGGAACGAGATAACGAGATGGGGGGCGAACAATACGGAGGCTTGACTGGGACGAGAATTCGATCTTGAGGCGTCTCGCTCAGTACGTGCGTCGGCGACAGTCCCAGACTGCCGGAAACATCCCGGAAAAAGTCCCAGATGTATCAGAGGGGGTACTTTTTACTTACTAACCCAAACTGCAGAGAGCTCTTCCAGCTTTTGATACTGGTCTTAAACTGCCGGAGCCATTTCCGCTACCACTGCAATCCGGAATGCGGTTCAACGGGAACGACGTACGATGCGGAGGGTGGACTTGCGCGTGCTGTCAGGCCGACGCGCACGAGATCCTGGAGCCGCGGGGAGGGCGGCACCTACCAGAGCTAACCGCCGAAGGAATTCCCCCTACTGCTACAACTCCCAGTGACACTCCCGCTAAGTGTCATCCATCCCGACCCGGAACGTACGATGCGGAGGGTGGACTTGCGCGTGCTGTCAGGGCCGACGCGCACGAGGTCCTGGAGAGCGGAGGGCAGCACCTGCCAGAACTCCTGGATGAACTCGGGGCCCTTCTTGCGGCTGTTCTGCAGAATGTCGTTCGCGAGGTACAGCAGTGGTAACTTGCGATCCTGCGACGTGCTCGCGAAGTGCTTCTGCCATGTCTGCACCACCTGGTCGGCGCGCTTCCGGTGAAAAATGCACCAATGGGAGAGCGCTGAGCGGACGGGGATGAGTGGAAGAGAGAGAACGAGAGAAAGAGAGAAAGAGAGAAAGAGAGGGAGCGAGAGACGCACGTAACGGTCAGATATCAAACGGTAACGGTCACGGTAACGTCTTGGACCAGCTTAACTTACTCGCCTAACTTCGTTCTAAAAAAAAACGAATTGAGGTGTAGAATGGAAATGGGTAATGGTAAACGAGGGTGCTTTTAAAATAGAAGTCGGATTACGGCTAGCCGGGACTGCTGACTGTTCGGCGGATGGACCAACGAGGCTGACCGACCAGCAAGACAGGTTCTTACTCTCAATGCTCTGCTGTGATGCATTCAGCTTCGATAGCTTCTCAAAAAGAATGGCGTCGTTAAACTCGTTCATCCTGCACCCCGCGAGCAAAGACTTGAGAAACCAAAAGGCCGACCCTATGACGGCCGACAATACCTATTTCATAGCCTACTTTATCGCACTAAGAATAATAAATCGCCATGACCGATGAAGCCTTGAACCCTAATTGCTCCTCGCGCAGCGCAACTATGGGCGCGGTATTTTCGGTTCAGGTGAAAGGGTTGCAACTTGCACTGCTTTTCAGCCAGAAATTGAAAAATCATACGGATGGAAGGCGGTTCACCAATATTTCGGAACGGCTGTATGCGATACGCAGCGGTTGACTCGCTTCCCAAGTCACGAACCAGTCTTGATAGTGCCCTGGTTTCCAGAAGTTATGTAACAAATACAGGTGTAGCCTGGTCTATAAAAGGAACATGTTTAAAACCCGCGGGCCAAGAAGTTCAACCTTAGGAAGGTTGGTTGGGAGTGAAAACGCTATTGGCCTGCGAACCATCGAGGTCTTAGAACTCGGGAATAATCACAGGCGTTTTTGGGACACCCAACCAGCATTAGGTAGGAAGGATGAACCAATTTTGGCCTTCTTGACCACTCTGGTCACCCTACAACAGGCCCTCATATTCATTTCAGGGGACCCTGATCCATCAGGGCTGCCCCTCCAAAAAAAAAAAAAAATCCTGATTGATCAGGGCTGGGCCCAATGCGGCCCCGATGCGGCTTCTCGTCGTGCGCGTCGCTGGCCCCGTCCGTCGCCTGCCCCCGCTCGTCGCAGCCCGTCCGTCCCGCGCCATTTCGCCGTCCCGCCGCTCGTCGCCACGCTGCCGTTGTCGCCCTATTTTTGCGCCACCTCCTCTTTCTCCTCCCTCTCCCTGCTGCTCCTGCAGCGGAGGAGGGGGTGGGGGGAGGGTGTGGGGGTGGCGGGTGTGACCAGTCAACAGCCGTCCCTCCACCTCTCCTCTCTCCCCCTGCTGCTCCTGCTGTAGAGGGGTGGAGGGGGGGGGGGGGTGAGGGGGTGGAGGGGGTTTTACCACCAGCGCCAGCCCGCCTCTTCTCTCTCCCTGCCGCCCCTCCTGGGTTGGCGAGGAGGGGGGGGGGGAGGGTGAAGAGGTGGCAGGAGTGACCACTCGTTCTGATGTGTTTTTCTCTTTCTGTGTTTCCGCTGGGCATCTCTGATGCACTTGTTGCTTGCCCTGCCTGTCCTGCCGATCTGCTGTTGTGGAGGGGGGGTTTTGGGAAGAAGGGGGGGGGTTGGCAGGGGTGGCCGGCGTGAAGCCAGCAGCTCCAGTCACCCGTGAGTCCATTGCTCCAGTCGCCCGTGAGTCAGTTGCTCCTGCCGCTCGCCTAGCCGCTCGAGCCCGTTGCTCCAGTTGCATGTGAGCCAGTTGCTCCAGTAGCCCGTGAGCCAGCAGCTTCAGCTGCCGCCCAACAACTCCTCTCTCTCTCTCTCCTCCTCCTCACATGCCCTCTCCTACTTCTGTTGCACCTTGGTGTACCCCTTCAGGGGGTGTTCTGCACATGGTTCTTCACTGCAGGCAGTTAGGGGGTGTGTCAAAATATAATTGTATGCATTATATTATAACTGCCTGTAGTGTAGACTTAGTGTAGTGCTAACGTGTTTGGTGGTGCACCTTGCTTGCTTTGCCTATATCCTTGTACCTTCTCTCCTTATTGAACCTCCTTTTTCTTGGCCAAGATTCCTCTCGCTACTACCCTAGCTCACCTCTGTCCTAACCTAAGTCATAGCCTACTAAGGCTACTTTAACACCGCCTAACCTCGCGGGGGGTTTAAAGCCCCATTTTGCAGTTGCCGAACCTTTACCGAGCCACGCTAAACTTTATTGGGGCTGTAGTTACCCCTGGACTTCAAAGCTACCGAACAGGGCCATTTTGTACCCTAGTCCCCGAAAAAACTTATACAGTGCAGGCATTTTCAGGACAATTTTCAGAGGGATCCTGAAGGATCAGTGTTACACGCACACCTCAATCCTGATTTGTCAAGGTGCATATCCAACAGAATACCGAATAATCAGTGCTACATTCTAAACAATACTGAATTTTCGGTGCTGGACCATCACACTAATCCTGAAATCATGGTAATCGAGATCTTTTATCCTAATATCTGAGGGCCTGCCCTACAACTTCTCTCGGAATGAAAGGCTTGGCCACATTTTCACAACGACCAAGAAGGAGCGCTCCCGGCGCTTTTCAGGTATGGGGGCAGAGCCCCATACTTCCATGTGCAAGGTCCGAAGAGGGTGCAGTAATGGGAGGAAATGAGAAGAAGTGAGGGGCGACGCGCCGACGGTGGACGCATCTGGGCAGGAAGCATCATATGATTTTACACAGAGACAGCTACGCACACACAAATAATAAGATCCATCAACACTATAATCATCAGAATACATGGCAAACAAAGCAGATCCTATTTGAGACATGTCCATATCAAACACAGCAAACCACCGCGCAATAGTGTAGGCCAGTCCGGAGAAAAGCCATAACCCCAAATCGGGCGCGGAAGAGGTCGTCGAGCTGGCGGAAGTAGAGTGCAATGGAGTGACCGGTGCGTCCGCAGACGGTGCCGCGAAGTGGAGCAGACTGAGGTTGGTACTGGCAGGGCTCAATGGGGGAACCACGCGACACCCAACTGTCACACCCGCCGCCGCGGCCACGCTACTTGAGCCATTAGGTCCTCACTGACGCTGGGAAACCCCGAGCTGCTGTTGCTGCTTCTGCTGCGACTTATAATGCTGTTGCTGAGTCACCATCGCACCCCCAGTACCATCACCTCCTGCTGCAGCACCCCCAAAATTAGCACCTCCCAGCTTCAGCAACCCCTGACGTACCAGCACCTCCACCTCCTCCACGACAACGACCACCCCTGCACCGTCCTCGCCACCAAAGGTGACAGAGACGGTTGCTGCCTCTGCTGTAACAGTAGGCTCACCAACAGTAGCAGAGGCAGTTGGGGTAGGGATTTGGGGTGGAGTGCACCCCTTAGGGAGAAATACCGCGGTGGAGGCGATAGTGCAAAGTCAATACTCGATCTCAGTGAGACGAGTCGCAAAGAGATCAATAGCGAGGTTCATGGGGTGCATGGTAAGGAGGTCGTTACATGCAGGCGCGAGACGGTCAGGGAGGCGGGTCGCTAGGAAGTGCAGAGTGAGATACACGAGGGGGAGGGGGGTTGTGTGCGTAGCTAGGTGCTCAGTAGTGCAAGCAGCGCGAAGGCTAGCATCAGGTTAGCACAGGTGGGTAGTGAGGTCAGACACTCCTTCGCCGTCGCGACCTGCAAAAGTGCGCTCGCTTGGCCGGCTACAGGAGGCAACCAAGAGCGAGGCGCGCAGAAGCTTGCACGACGCCCAAACCGAGTACGCAAGCTGGGCCACGCAGTGAGCCTCCCGCTCCCCCGAGATGGATTCAACATTAAGGGCAGGAGGACGCTTGGGGGCAAGTAGCTCACTCGACACGTCGGCGTATTGGTAGACGACGTCTAAGATATGGCTTAGCAAGTGGAGCTGGACGTCGATCAACCATGCGTCAAAGTTCATCGCCCGCCCCTCCGCATCGAGCCGCAGTACGAACTTGGACGCCATGATAGGAGTGAGCAGGGGCACATCTAGATCGGATGAAAGGGACAACCACAGGAGGAGGAGAAGACAAGCTGGTGTAAACCCAAACCGCAGCTGCAGACAACAGCCGCAGGTGCGGCAGCGAACAGCAGCTGCATGCTCATCGGTGTTGACAGGCGCGGCGTCAGGCGCTCCTGGTAGGTGCAACTGCAAGCGCGGTCGGCAGGTTTGGCAGGTGCGCGGTTGGCGCGCCGGCAAGGTGCGGTAAGTCGCGCGGCAGGCGCGCAGCAGGCACGCGGCGGGCGCGGTAGGGCGTGGCAGGGCGCGGTAGGGAGCGCAGCAGGGCACGTGGCATGGCTCGCCAGGGGCGCGATGGGGCAGTGGCTGGGGCGCGATGAGGCCACTAGAGGGAGGGGCGCGACGGGGCGCTGGGGAGCTAGATGGGGGCCGCTAGTGGATGCTAGAGGGCGCTAAAGGGGGCCAGGTCGTGAGAGCACGAGGGCAGCAAGGGGTGTAGGTGGTGCGGAAGGGAGCAACCTAACTTAAGATGATACCATATGAAGAAGGGAACGAATGGAGAATGGGGGTATACAGAGGGGGTCCATCTAGCAAACTTGTACCATCTATAGTGCAACACAACATACCGTAGTTTATGAAATACATATGCAAATGCATATGTGTATGTTATATAACCAGCACTCGATCCCTGGAAAATCCTGGATTGTCATATGTGATGGAAAAAATAGGAACATAACTTGGATCCCCTCATAAGATGGCGTTTCTTCACTCCTTATTACATCTCATACAACTCTCTTTTGGAATGGCATGTAAGATAAATGGAGATATGTAAGGAAATGTCCTTTTCCTTACTTCGCGTCCCTGCTCAGCGCGTACACCACTGTTCCCACCCACAGCACCCAACAGTAATCCGTTACCACTCGCGACACTCGCTTCGACACCATTCCCGCCACCATTCACGACGCGACCCAACCTCACGGTTCGGTTGGTAACCCGCGCTCCGGACCTCCGCCTCGACACTTTCCCAACCTCGGCACCAGGCCCGTCGCGCACCCCATTTTTCACAC